TCCATGATACATCCTTTCTGAAATGCATCAATGAATAAATAAAAAAGTCAATATTAAAATGGTATTTATTTTTAACTTTAGTTAGTAAGATAAAAGACTTCTTCGAATCCAATTCCAATCTTTACATGGAGTATTTATATTTCAAAATTTTCACAATATTTTTAACTCTCTTATGAGTTGCATAATCTTGGCTGTAATAAGTTGTTTTTTTTTGAGTTATTGTTATGGATGTTTTGTAATATAAAAATGTTTGTATCTATTATAAGATGCAAGGATAAGGTTATTGGCTTTTTATTCATTAATCTATTAAGAAGTATAGAGCACACATCATGGATTTTTTAATTTCCTTAAATTTTAAATGACTTTATTTTACTTTCTCCAATTTTAAACAACCATGAACATGATTTTTATCTACTCAATATCTGTTATAAAAATCTGAATAGAATCTAGAAGCTCGGTGACTGGTCATTCCTTCAGGNGGATGGTGATACTAAAAAAAAAAACTTTAGTAGATAATTCGACGGTTTAACCTTATAATAAATTTTTGTTAATATGATGTAAATATCATATTAACGTTGAATTCTATGCATCTATTTAAAGCACAAAATATGTTTAAGACTACATTCCTTAGGGTTAGTGATTGAGTATAAATCAATAATTATAAATTAAAAGGTCAAGACAAAGCAATATTTGATGAAATTAATAGTTACGTCGATGCTGGATATGTAGGTCCGATGGAAGAAGCTTGGAGATTGCAAGGATTTCTTCTTTGTAGTATAAATCATACGGTTGTAAATTTTACTGTTTACCTTAAAACAAAACAAAAACTTGTATTGAAAGAAGATGATATTCAATAAGTTACGAAAAACTACGAAATACAGTTAACAGTTTGGTTTGAAATAAATAAAGATGATGACTCTGCAAAATTCATAGAGTATGTAAGCTTATTAGAATACTACATTTTTAGTTGAAAACAAGAAAAAATGTAATACATAACACTGCCATAGGTAGATTCAACATTGTATTTTCAAAAGATCATGAAAGATTTTTCAAATCTGGTATTAGAGAAAGTAACTGGTTTGACATTGTTCAAAGATATTAAAATATTTAACGAAATCATATATGTAACGTTGAAATATATTGCAATTGCAATGGGTTTACCAGATAATATTGAAAAAATAGATGACGAATAGATTTTGAAAGAAGTAATGTCTGTTAATTGCCCATATAAATTAAAATTTTTTTTGCCCATATAATTTTAAGTTTTTTGCATGGTTCTGAGTCTTAGAAAACATTGAAGGTGACAAAATATTGAATAAATAAAGAAAATTTTTCAAAGGGGATTTGCCAATTGCTAAAAAAAATGTAGCTTTTCTACATATTAACTGAATTTTAGAATCCGAATTCGAAACCTGAAGTGCTATATTTTGCCTACACCAAAAAAAAAAGACAATGATCGAAATTATCTAGATGAAAAAATACGTTTTAGTAAAGAAATTTTTAATTCAATGTGTATAAGTTCTATGAATGGCCAGAAAAAAATATTAAATATCATTTGCTCACGAAAAAAATTATATTCTCTATCTTGATGCTCTGGGATGGTCGGGAAAAACTTGTTTATACTGAATATTGATTTATTATATGATTTCTTAAAATATTAAAATTTTCCTAATTGCATGGACTGGCATCACATCAATTTTGCTTTTAAAAGAAATAACATAGGACTTCAAAGTCACGATATCTGAGGTCAGTTGAATTCCACTACGACGGGATTGGTTCGTAACTTCAAAAGACACTTCAAAATTCACTAAAACTGTGAAATCCGATAATCCTAAGTGGTGTCAAACATAAAACTTGCTCGTTCATCAAATCTTCAACTCACTTTCTAGCCCTGACATAAAAATACTGAAACCGTATCGATTAATCTTTTACCGTAAAAATATTTGTGTCGTAGCTTTCGTAGGACTTAAAGAGACTATCGTCATTATAGTTCAGTTAAGGAAGCAAGACAACCTCATTTTTACGTTACGACGCTTTTTTTTTTTTTTTTCATAAATAGTAATGATATTCCCTGATTACGAATTTTGCTACACATTGTTTCAGTTGATGATGCAACATATTTTAATTACACGATTTCTAGAAAAAAAGACTTCTTTACTTTTTGCAGAATATTTTCTTCCAGTGCGTTTTTTGCCAAATGTGCTTCATAGATTTTTGTCCCCCATCTAATTACTTACAAAATGGCGGTGGTTAAAAGTAGCTACGTTTTTTGTTTATTAATAAATTGCGTTCAAAGTTGAAAAAATTTTTTTTTCACATTTAATATCTGCAACACTTTCGTATTTACGGACTTAAAGTTTAAAATATATTGCTATCACTAATACAAGTAAATATACTAAGTTTTAAAACCAATTGGTTTTGAACTTTTTGATTAGTTAACGATCGAAATTTTTTAAAGAGCTTAGTTTTTTAATATGCCAATGTCTCTGGTACCGTCTAATGACGATCAAACCTTGCTTAAAAATTCAAAAAACTATTTAAATTTAATATCACGTTAGAATTTTGAAAAAAAATTAATTTTTATCTATTTTATATCGATTTCTTCAACAGTACTAATTTAAAATAGACGTAAGAAACCTTATAACTTTTTGAATTGTAAATATTGAGGATTTGCTTTTCTACAGCTTATAAGCTGATATTTCCTTACGAAAAAAAAAAAATTTTACCGTAGGACCTTCTGGAGCTAAGAAAAAAATTTTTTTTTTTTTTTTACATTCGTTACAGCGTATTTTACGTTGTTGTTAAATTGTAATTTGTAAAAGAATAACAGCTTTTGAACGGTGCAAAAGCGAATTCTCAATATTTACAGTTAAAAGTTACATGGTTTTTTACATCTGCCACAAGCCAATATGGTCAAAGAAATCGTTAAAAAATCGGTAAAAATTGATTTTTTTTTTTTTTAATTCATGGTTGATGTAAAGGTAGTCACTGAAACCTACCAGCATGGGGGTATGAAGGATGCTGAGTTGGGTCTTCCTGATATTGTGTTGTACGGAAGGGACAGATATATAAATGGCTCTACAAGCCTTAGTAGTGGGATCCTTATTGCAGTGAATAAGCGGTTTGACAACACTATGCTAGTCTTTGATGAGATTTTTGAGCAGTTGTTTGTTAGTGTAAAAGTGCCTGGTTTCTCTTGTACTATTGAATGAGTCTATTTGTGCCCCAGATTACCATTGGCTATCTACCATTGCTGTATGAATACTGTTAAGACTCTAAATGTTTAGATAAACATCAGAACTCAAATATTATCCTGCTTGGAGATTTTAACTTACCCAATACAACTTGAAATGAGTTTTCTGATCCAATGCCAATCTGCACGGATGGTGATACTCTCATTCGGAAGTGTGCTCAAGAGATAGGTCATTAGGTGTCATTGCTGAGTCTTTGTCAACTTTTTCTAGTCCACTCACTCGAGGGTTACGGGCTTGATCTCCTGCTCACTGATTTATCTGGTGCCGGTATTAGTTGTCTGCTGGTACTGGATGAGCTTTAAAAATGCTGCAATTACTTGGAAGAACAACTAACTTACATTATCTTCTTAAAAAATAATCCAGAATCGCAATAACTATTGCTAAAACTAATGACAACTTTTTTTTGTTTTGGATACAATTTTTATGACCATATTAGTGTTTTTGTTCGTACAATATCAATACATTTATAATTTATTAGCATTAAAATGTGACTATAGGAAGAAAAGTTTTTTTAATCAGTAATCCAAAAATAAATTGTGTAACTGAAACCACGAACTCGCGACTCTGGCGTAAATTATGATACATCTCAAAATACCATCTTGCAACTTTTTAGAATTCAGTCAGTTTATCGACGGCAACATGGTGTCAAGTAGTCATTGTTAAGTAATAACTTTTTCAATAAAAGAGTGGTCTTAGCTCAGTTGACTAAGGCGCAAGATTTGGTTAGCGGAGATACGGCTGCTCAAGCAGGGCGCAGGTTTGAATTCCGGTCAGTGCAATTCTTGAGAAGTTTTTACAAGAATTGTTTCTGTCTGATATTTTTTCCCAAGCATCTTAGCTGATTCTGCACCACAGGCTAACTCACACTTCATGGAGGCCCTTGGTAGGTGCCAGACCAGTTGGGGAACTTAGGGGTTATAGGGGTGGAAAGAGAAGAGGACGTTACCACAAGACAATCTGAAGATAGGCTTTGTGGGCATCTTAAATGGGTGCGAACATCAGGGAAAAATTGCAGAGACCTGGGCTGAAAAATAGGGGTTAAGGGGTTGAATGGTAAAAAGGGGGGATAAGGGTTACGGCACGTTGGAATACTGAAACTGGAAGCTTGGGGCTTAGGATGAACATCCTCCACAAAATGATGGTAGAGGGTGCCCGTAAAAATCAACTTGAGTGGTGTACGGATGGAAACAAAAATATTAACTTTGTTAAAAAGATTTTTTTTCATGAAAGCTACAAATACTTTAATTTTATGGCCAAGTATTCTTTCATGTAATTAATTGTAGTTATTTTGAAAAACTGGTGAACTTTTTTTAGTCTTCAGTTATCTGTAAGCACATACAGTTTAAACTCCATTCAATTAAGACAAAATCTAAAAGTTTATTTTTTATTTGTTACGTATTATTACTGTTATTTTCGGTGCCAAAAGAAAAAAAAAATGAAAGTTATTCGAAGTGAAAATTTTTAAGAAGTATCGGAGTGAGTTTTTAATTATATCAGGCTTCGAAAAGCAACTTAATTATAAAATGTTAAAGCTACTTATTTAAATCGTCTTTAAAAATCATCATCTCAAATCGTACAAAAAACTGTTCAAAGAAATGTCAAAATGTTTTCTCGTTTTTCCCCAAAGTTTTCGATGCCATATTATATTTTTTTTTAAACATTCAAGCTTTTATCACTCTCGTTATTTAGAAAAAATAACTTTATATTTGTAATACTACTGATAATAATATTATGCTATTTTTTCAGAATAAGACTTATGCAATGACTGTAAGAACACAAGCACACAATATTTCTAAGGAGTATCCAGTTGTTGCAGTTTTGGTAATTTCATGTAATCGAATAACTGTTAAAAGATGTCTTGATCAACTTATTAAGTTTAGACCTCATAAGGATATGTTTCCTATCATAGTATCTCATGACTGCAACCATAGAGACACTAGTGATGTCATTAAGAGATACGACAAAGAAATAATTTATATGCAGGTAACAATAAAATATTACCATATTTTTTAAAACGTAGCGCTTTTAGTACATTTCGAGTCAATCTCTTATTTAGTAGAGTGTTTTAGGGAAATTTCTTAGAGAATCTTTATACTTCTTACTACTTAACTCATTAAACTAGCCTGAAATAATTTTGACCTTAAAAAGAAATGTCGAGGTTAGTATAAAAGTGAAATAATCACAGTGAACAAAACATAGCTAATAAACTGTAATTTAACTCAGATCTCTTGTCCAAAGATATTTGTATATGTGTTGCACTTTAGTGACCAAAGTGGAGAAATAAGAATTATTTTTTTACTGCGTATTTTTGGGTTTATTAATTATCATTAATGTTAAGATTATTGATGTAAAGAGAAACGACAACAGTCTGAAGTGACAAAAAGTCAACTCTTCAACCTTTTTTTTCAATAGGCCATGATATCAATAAAATAAAATTTTTGAAACGTCTTTTCAATTCAGACCGAAATTTTGTGTGTACAATGCATTCCTTTTGCTACACCTTACAATCGACCCATTTTAATGTTCAAGAAAGTAAATTATCAAATTCACTAGAGTTATCACACAAGACCAGCCATTTGATTTTTGGGTAGATAGTAGTCTGAAAATGAATAAGAGTCAAGGATTTACATTCTACATGGACCTTAGAGATGACTACTGCCATTTCTTTTGTTAAGTCTTAATTCTTACAACAAATGTTTTTTATACAACTAACATTATTTCTGTTTTCAAGAAGCTTAAGTCTTATGTGCGAGCATCAGAGAAAAGTAACCTTAGAGTACTTTTTACCTAATACTCGTGCACTTTCAAATTTTGTTTTTATAAATTATTTTTCAATCTTATTGGTAGCTTTTGGTTCAGTAAAGGATATGCTGAATTCACAACTGATCAGTAAATAACAAAGACACATAAAACAACGACAAATGTAGTGACTTATTAGGCGTGATCTTCGTCAGTCGTCAGTATGAATACTTACATATGCACGAGTTAATGTATTACTGAGAGCACAACGATCGCTCATCTGTATTTATATCAAATTTAAAATCTAAACTGTTATAAGACATTGTCAAGGATACTATAAATTGGGTTCAATTTTAAGTGCCTCCCTTCTTTTTGATTGAATTAGCTGCACTATTCATGAATAACATTACCAGTTCAATGTAGAATGAAAACAAATTTGGTTGGTTGAGCAGGACTATTTATTGTTACAAAAATTACATCTGACTGATATTTCGGCAATTTAGTATTGCCATCATCAGAAAAATTTTGAAGCTTCTGTTATACATTGTGAAGGTACAGACATGGTTATTAAATTGTTTGTTGCTACAATTTGTATCGCTATGTACCAGAAGTTTCTACATGTGGTACCATATGCCTTTACCTTTTCGGTGGTCGAACATTATGTACGACTATATGGATTTTATAAAGGATTTTTCTGACCAGGTCTACATAGATTTAGTTGTAATTAGGTTATATTCTGATAGATTTCAGACAGTTTCAAAATTTTTCCATTATCTTTCCAGTGTAACTGATTTCCATTAGAAGAGAAAATTCTTTTTTTCTGCGTTGTAGATAAAAACTGATGATGGAAATACTACATTGCCGAAGTATCGGAAAGATATAATTTTTGTAACAATAAATAGTCCTGCTCAATTAACCAAATCTGTTTTCATTCTATACTTATTTTTTGACAATTAAGTAAATTTAATGGATTGGAGGTGATTGGAATTTCTGTTGATTATTACTAGTTTTTTTATACTTATATTTACTTTCTAAAACTACAACAATGTCTCAATCAAACTTATCAGCTTACCTAATGTTATGAACAATAACAACCGATCCTGATGTACAACCATTTTTGTGCCTATTCATGCTGTGTTGGAAAGCGCGTTTTGTTTAACCTTTGTATTACAATATTACTAGGTAAAATTAACGTACGAACCAATCCTACACCTTGACAATATACAACGTTACTTTTATCTAGTTTATAATTTTTTTCCTCACTCAATTTCAACTCAACTGTGGGACGGCGTAAACATTGCACATGTTTAAAGAATTTTTAAACGATGGAAAAACCAAGCTCATACTGACGGCTCGATACTTCGAGGACTCATGGCAAAGTTAAGTGTTTGAACCGTTTTATCACACCCACTCTCGTGCAACTTGCTGAAAATTTGAAATAATGGGACACAATTTTATATAACGTCAAGTTCACGATTAATAATACAGTTTGTCGTTCCATGGACAAGGCACCTAGTCGTCTGTTATGTGGAGTAAGTCAAGCAGTCGAGCCTAATAATTGTATGCGACTTGTGACACATAATAATGAATGTTGATACGTCTGCGGGACCTGAAAAATCGGTACCCAAACACAAAGGACCGTATGAGGTCAAATAAATAGGAGAAACCAGGACGGTATACATCACTGGGAAATATGAGTCTTGGCTTTATTTATCAATTTAACTGACCTATAGTCTTATTTTTTTTTCTTAAATACGTTTTAACAAATAATTTTTAATAACAATACAAAACACTCAGGTAATCAAATAAAAAACTTGTTCTTATCGATTAAAATTTTTGTCACGAAAAAAAAATTTTAACAAAACCTTTTAAGTGAGAAAAGTAGTATACATTATTACTAGATAACTTATAGCTTTTAATATCGGAAAATAAAGTAGTGTACGTTAACTTTATGTCATGAACAAATTGGTTTTAGCCACTATTAACTGCTAGTAATCGATATTGATAAAAGTGGATTTAAGGTGGTATAGATCAGTCTTGCAGGGCTATATAGGTCAACATTGAAAGCAAAGCAGACGACTGATAAAGACTGCAACATGTAGTTGAAGCAGCATAGGGGAAATTCTTTTACGAATTAAACGGATTTTGACCTTCACCTCTTTGATTCGGATGAAAATTTATTTCCAGTTTCTACATTAAAAAGTAAGAGATATGTGTTCGAGAAATTTTTTTTTTTCGCCTATTTTCAATTTTATAAGTTATAAAAAATTTTATAACAGTGGTTGGAGACTCATTTTAAAAATAACACAAGCGCCACTTCCCGCTTAGCCCGTGGCACCTACTGGTCGCTCTAATAAATAATAAAATTTATTAATTAATAACTCAAGCGCCGATCGACATACAACCCAGGACGCTTACTGGTTGTTTTATTTATCAATCATATAAATATGATAACGAAAGAGCCAATCACCACACAACCAGGGGCGTTTGCTGATTGCTGTGATAGTTAATAAATTTTATTAATTAACAAGGCAAGCGACAATAACCACACAATCTATGCTGCTTACTGGTTGCTTTATTGATTAGTCATATTTACATAATAATGCAAGCGACAATTACTACTCTTCCTAGGGCGCTTAGTAGTCGCCATGATGATTAATAAACTTTATTAATTAAAAACCCAAGTGCCAATAACTACTTGAGTTGAGGCCCTTACTGGTTCTTTTATCTAGTGATAAAATAAACGTTATATCGCTAGCGCCAATCACCGCACAACGCGGGACGTTAATCGGTCCCTTTTGTTATTGATGAAATAAGTATAATAATGCAAGCGCCGATCACCACAAAACCTGAGGCGCTTACTAGCCACTTTAATAATTAATCACGCTAGTGCCAACTACCTCTTAACTCGATGCACTGACTGGCCAATTTGAGTTTTTGATATTATAATAATTATAATGCAAGCGCCATTGACCATCAACCTTGGGCGCTTTCTGGCCACTTTATTTATTGATGAAACAAATATTAATTATTAAAGTGGCCAGTAAGCGCCCTGAATTTCGTAGTGATAGTGACACTTAAGTTATCATATTTTAGTTATGAGATTTAATAATTAATAAACGCAATCGCCAATCAATAAAAAACCCGAGGTACTTTCTGGCCGCTTTAATAATCAATAAAATAAACGTCATAACGCAAGTGCCAATCATGGCTAAACTCAAGGCGCTTTCTGGTAATTTCAATAAATCATCGAATTTATAAATTCATGAAACGAGTTCACACTATTAAACAACTCCAGAACCCAAGAGGTCGCCTTAAGTACTAATAAAAGAGATATTACGACGCAACTGCCAATCCCCCCTTAACATAGGACGCTTGCTGGTTTTTTTTTAATGATAAAATAAGTATAAAAACGCAAGCACCAATCACCACTTAAGTTAAGGCACTTACTGGTTATTTTAATAATTAGTACAATTTATTAATTATTAACGCAAGTACTAAAGACCTCACAACCTAGGGTGCTTACTGGTCGCTTAATTTAATAATAAAAATAATATGATAAGGCAAGCGCCAGTTTTCTCAAAACCCTGGACGCTTACTAGTTGCTTTATTTATTAATCATATGAATATAATTACGCAATAGTCAATTACCACATAACAGGCAGCGCTTAAGGTCGCTGTAATGGTTAATAATTTTTATTAATTAACAACGCAAGTGCAAGTTACCACATAACCTCGGCAGCTTACTGGTCGCTTTATTGATTAGTAAAATAAACATATAAACGCAAGCGCCAATCACTACACATCCCGGGGTGCTTACTGGTCGCTGTAATACATAATAAAATTTAACAAATTATAACATAAGCGCCGATCACTACACAAACCACGGCACTTACTAGTTGCTTTTTTTATTGATAATCTAAACCTAAGAATTGAAGGCAAATCACCACACAACCTTGGGTTTCAGACTGGCTGCTTTATTTATTAACAAAACAAATATAATATCGCAAGCGCCAATTACCACACAACTGGAGGCGTGGATTGCTTGCTTTATTTTATTATTAATCTAGTTCTGAGAATCAAAGTCCAATTACCACACAACCTCGAGTTCTAAATGGCTGCTTTATTTATTGATAAAATAAATGTAATAACGCAAGCGCCAATCTTAGCAGAATCTGGGGCGCTTACTAGTTGCTTTTTTTATTGATAAAATAAATATAAAACGCACGTGCAAATCACAACAC